TCCATTGCCAACCCAAAGCTCAGTGGGAAGGTCCGGCATCCAGGGCCGGATTTTCATGCAGATCACATCGGGCCGTGGTTTACATCCCGAAGAGAGCTCGGGCTGTCCTTCAAACAGTGCATGCTGTTGGTTTTAAATTCGCAGAAGAACTGATGCAACTCACACAGCTCCTCTATGCTTAGGAGTTGCACACATGCTGTTGCTGCTTGCTTCTTGCATCCTTGCAAGAGACAAGCTTCTAAACCTAAAAAGGGGCTTGCCGGACAGCATGGCCTCGTGGGGACCCACTTCTCACCAGAGGCTTGAAATCGAAGGCATTGATCGCTCCACTCCGTCAGTAGCGACTGGAAGGATGGACGTGAGATCTCCTGGCTGTCCTGGCTGATGCGCGGCCTCTTGGCTGTTCGGATGGACTCAGCCTGCTCATCCGGCTCCTCTTTGGCCATGGCAGGCGCGCAGAACCACTTCATCAAACCCTGTATACACCTAAAGCATCCGAAAGCCTCTAGCCCCAAATCCTTGCTCTTGAATAATACGACCGAAATCCGGAAGCCGAAGTGGTTTGGGCCGCAAGTCCTTTCCAGAGATCAACAAACATAGGCCTTTATATCCTAAACGGGCTCCGTAAAACGGTCCAATCCTCCAGATCGTGCACACGGCTTTAGATGGACGTGTAGGCTTCCTTCCGGAGACTCTGGGGTCTATGACCCTAGACCTCATAAACCCGAAAAGCTCTATAAGCCCTAAAACCCTAAACCCCTAAACGCCTAAAGCCCTAAAGCCCTAAAACCCTGAAGCCCTAAAGCCCTAAAAGCCTAAAACCCTAAACCGTCTGCCGACTGCAACCAAGAGACGTTCTCCACGGATCGAGCATTCGCTTCGGCCTAAGCTTGTTGCTCTAGACTCGAATATGACTGATTAATAATCATAATACTGTTATTGTTAATATTAGTACTGGTACCTTAATATTGTTATTATTAATATTTGTAATGGTATCTTGATATTGCTTTAGTATAGGTATCTTAATCCTGATTGATAATATTGATATTCTTATTAGTCTCAGTAGTAGTAGTATACGGGTGATGAGGATTTTCGAACATCCTTTTGTGTCTTCTTTAGGCTTTGGGGCGAAGGGCCTGGCAGGCCGAGGTCTGGCGACGCTCCTGCAGCAAACCTCTGGAAGCTTTAAGGCGATGGTCTAATGTAGGGGCCTTAATAATTAGAATAGGGTTCCTGTAATAGGGGTCCTATAAGGGTTACTATAAGGGGTTCTATAAGAAGAGGGGCCGTAATAATTAGAATAGGGTTTTGGGGGCTCCTTATAAAAATTATATGGTATAACATACCCCCAAACCCTATTCTAATTATCAAGGCCCTATATTATGCACAGCACCCGAAGACCAGGAATTGCAAGCTGTCCCAAGAAACAGCGTGCAGCTCCGTTAAAACCCGTGAAGGGACGCTGATACACAGATACTCCGGCATGGTTTAGGGTTTAGGGTTTAGGGTTTAGGGTTTAGGGTGAACTTCCCATTGCAATTTGCACTTTGCTCGGACGCGGGCAGGAAACTTGACTTCCCGGTGCCGCTGGGTGGCCTGCCAAAGCATTCATGAAGTGTTTGAAGACGGCATGAAGGCTGACGTGTGGATGTGCGATGATACAGAACACTGCAAGTGCAAGATGACAGACTGGTAAGCAGCCTGCGAGTTTCTTTCTTGGAAGCATAGGGCCTTGGCAAAACTGCTTGGAGGTCATTACTTGGTTGTTTTTTGAATCGAAAATCACCTGAGCCCTGCCACAGGCAACGTTTCCAGATAACAACAACAGATGGTGGGATGGCGCATGATGGCCGTGTTGCCTGTGATGCCGACGATGGCGGTGATGAGTGCGCTGATCAGTGTCGACAGACAGGTCAGCCAGTGGCAATCTTCAAACAACAAATGCTTCGGAATCCATGGGTTGGAGCTTAAGGGGGAAAAGGCGCCCACAACACAAGCTGAAATACCGAAAGCACTCACCTAGTGAAATTGGGCTCTCACCAACTGCCGGAGTCCTGGACCTCATAGTCCCGGCCTGAAGCCCTGTCAGCTTCCAACTCTGCAAATACCGGCGCACTTCGTTGTAGCCGTTTTGCACCTCGTCTCCAGGCTTGAAGTAATGTAGGGCCTGAATAACTAGAATAGGGTTTTGGGGTAATATACTATAATTTTAATAAGGAAGCTAGTGCAGGTAATTATTTAGGCCCCTTTGGTACGGTTGAGGGTTTAGGGTTTGTGTGCCTGTTGTGGTGTAGGGATCTCGAAGCGCCTGAGACAGCTCTATTTGGCTTGGTGAGGGCCTGTGTGAGAAGTTGAAGTTTCGAAATGTTCCATCACAAATCTCGATGGGAACATTACAAACCGAAACAGCCCGAGCCCTGAGCTCTGGTGATTCCCATTCTTATGTGCATGACCTGACCTGGCCGTTATGATCATTATAGTGATGAGAATGCTACACCCTCATCACAAACAACAGCTTGCACTTACAATGTACGGGCATACCTGAAAGTCCACACTCTACGCAGGCTCGTGCTTAGGGCTTATCGGCTTATCGGCCTTGAGGCTTTACGGCCCGACACCCGAAACCAAAAACGCTCACCCGCCGCCCTTAGCGCGGAACCCTAGACACACGGCCCCTGAGCCCCCAAGCCTTGAATCCTACGTCCTTCAGGCTCTGAGATCCTACTCTTCACCCACACAGGCCATACAGTCTAAACCACCCTCTTCATGCAAGGCACGGCATCGTGGATTGGGAGCCTCGGCAAAAGAGATGTCGGGTGTAGCTTGGGGTCGCAACTACGCATGTGGGTAGTTCTCTAAATCAGGGTCCCTTTGGGGTCCTCGTATAAGCGTGCCGTACTATATTGGGAACCTAAAATGCGACCCTAATTCAGAGAGCTACCAATGTGTTTTCACACATATATCCTGCATTACCCATAATAAGGAATTTGCCATAATTCCCATGGTTTAGGGTCCTTAAGATAATGCAGGATTTATATCATCAACAGTATCGCTCTTAGGAAGTTTGTGTGCAAAGCCGAAGTCATGCTCGACTAATCTTTCCGTCCAGTGGCAAACCGAAACGATCCCGCCGGAGCGTTGCACCGCACTCCTGCTGGGAGTGGGCTATGAGGCTGCGGTATCTACGCCTCTACACACTTCGAATTAGGAAGTTATACGGTTCAGCTGATGCTTGTGTTAAGTTACTTGTTCTACCGAACCAACAGTCTTCCAGCTAAGAGAAGCATCCTATTTGTCATTTCAGGTACAGGTCTCGGCCTGTCACAAATCTCGCCTTTTCAGTGCTGCTGCTACCCTTGCAGAAACTGCCAATAGCTCTTCGCTACTGCTACCTTTACGGGCGTTGATTCAGGTAATATTTATGTGTATGTACCTGTGTGTGCATATGTACGTGAGTAGGTAAGTACATATGTACTTCTGTATGTGTGTATGTATGTGTAGATGGATGGATGGATGCATGGATGGATGCACCTCTGTGTGTGGGTGCGCATGTGTGTCTCCCTACCGCAACTGATCACCCTGCCCTGCAAACACAGCTCCAAGGCCTGGACACCAAGTTCGAACGGAAAAGCCACGTCCCGCAAAATGCAAAAAGTAACCCCGCTACACACGTCACAAGGAACCCAGGCCCTCGAATGCCCCAATCCTAAACCCACAGCCCCAGAATCCCCAACCCTTCACGCCTCAAAAACCCCGAAACCCCAACTAGGCCCTGGTCTTTATCCTCAGGAAAGCCGAATCCAGCGCTCCTCCAGCAGAAACTTCGCGAGCTTGAGGTCTCCTTCCACCGCTTATGTTTGTGGCTTAGTGGTTTAGGGCTTGCGGCTTGTTTTTTTTTGTGCGTGTGTGTGTGTGTCCTTTCTCTTCGTGCGCGTGGGCTCTTTTACAACTCCGTCCCTCAATTAGAGCTTAAGGCTTGAAGGCCTGAGGGCGCAGAGTTTACGGTTGCAGAGAGAAGTAGCGGTAGCACTAGTACACGTAGTACCAGTATTTTTAGCAGCAGCAGTAGTAGTAGTAGTAGTAGTAGTAGTAGTAGTAGTAGTGGTAGTAGTAGTAGTGGTAGTGGTACTGGTAGTAGTGG